GGCAGGGGGGCCAACGCGCCCACCTTCTCCTCCTCGGATTGAAAGAGATGGGCAGCAGCTCCAGCTCAGAACTGGAACCCCTCCCGCAGCCTTCGGACAAGTGACGCTCTGGAGGAGGACCCGGGCCACCAGCGCTCAGTGCCGCGCGCGGAGCACTTGGGTGCCATTTCCCCGGTCCCACGCCCCTCCTCAACCTGGACCGCGCATTCCGGGCCAGCGGTCACCCGAGTCCCGCCAAACTGCAGCTGTTCCGAGGGAGCACTCCCGAACTCCTGCGTCTGGCCGCGCTGGCTGGACCACGGGGCTCCCCAGCCAGGGGTCGCTGGTTCTCCAGATCAAAGAGAAACGGCGCCAGAGCTGTAGCCTTGAGCTTCCGAGTCCCTCTCGGACAGCACTGACTGTATGTGAAGGCGGGGACCTGCGGGGGGCCTCCACCCCCGGGCGGGGGGAAGTGGTAGGGTTGCTTTGGGGTTGGGCTGTCGGCTCCCTTCCAACCTGCAGGCAATTTTTGAGACTTAAGCGATGGTGGCCAGCGGCGCGGCGGTGGGGGGTGGGGTGGGGGGGGTCCTGCCGCTTTCCTCTGGGTGTTTGGTCTGGAAACTGTGGGAAGTCGGTTCAGGGGCCCGGAGAGGGTGGGGGTGGGGGTCCCCAGGTTTTCTGTCCCATCCTGGAGGCTGGGCCTCCAGATCCCGTGATTGGAATCAGCACCCACTGTGACAAACAGTTGCATCAGGTGTGGGAACAGCATCCCAGCTGGAGACACGCCCGCATTTGTCAAAAGTGCTTAAGAAGGGTGGTGCGTACAGGGTCCCGGTCCCTGTCCCATCCCCCACAGCACCGCGGAGGTTCTTAGGGGAAATGTCCAGCGGTTTCCCTGCCTCGGGCAGACTCACTGCGACCTGAAATGCCCGTGAACGTCCCCCCACCGTCCGCAGCAGCCCTGCAGAGTTGCCGCCGGACGCGTGAAACGTCATCCAGACTGAAGCCCCGCAGCAGTGCTTCCCACCCTGCTGGGCCCGGGGCCCCCAGGTGCTGCCCCGCCCTCACGCCCTCAGAAATCTGCCAGGATCTTAAATCTGATCCCCCATGGAATGCAAAGGGGAGATCAGGAGCCTTTTACAAACATCTTCCTTAATCCCCAACGCCTTTCTGAAAGAACGTCTGAGTCCATCAACCTGTTTTACACCACAATCCCTCTCGTCCCAGGGCCCCAGGGCCGTCCTGCTCCCGGAGGACAGGGCGGGGCTTCCGCATCTGCCCCGGGCTCTGTCCCCAGCTCCCTCCCGAGCTGGGCGGCCGGGGGCCACTTGACCTTTCTGAGAGTTTCCCCAGTATGCCGGGGTCAGAAGTAAGTGCCGGTTGCAGTGAACGGAGCCGGGAAAGCAGCGTGAGAACAGGCCGCTCCCCCTGCTTCTCTCCCCTCGGTCGCCCAACTCTTCTCGGAGTAAGGAAGCTTCCGGAAGGAAATCAGTCACCGAGGGCGCCAAGGTCCTCCTGAAGGTCACAGTCTCCAGTGCCCCATACGGTCCTCCGGGACCAGTGGCATGGCCCCCACCAAACTGCTTCTGCGTGCCGTCCTCAGAGGATTTGGAGTTTAAAAGTTACAAATGTCTTCTCTTATCGATCTCACAGGAACACGCCTAGCAGAGCTTCCCAAAAGACGAAGAAAGGCGGCCTTTAGCACGTGTGTGACATTCAGCCTGAGGGTGTCCCCAGGCTCCCTCAAGCTCTCGGGTCACATCTCCCCCTCGCTCTGGGCCTCCCCAGTCACAGAGCTTCCCAGACTCCGGGAGCTCCTGGAAGCAAACTGGATTTCTCGGAGAAGACTGTTCCCAAAGGTGAAGAGTTGAGGCCCGTGACCCAGAGAAGTCGCCGTATCCTGGGGTAGGTTCTGGACTTGGGTGGCGTGACTCTCAGTGTTGCCCTTCGAGGGGCATCCCTGCGGTGTAGGCAGAAGGGCTGGGCCTCCAGGATGGAGCCTTCCCAGGGCCCTTCCCTGGCTCAGCTCAAGTTCAAGGCCGAATCCCAGATAGTCCTAGACATGTGTCTGGGTGCAGGGATCAGGGGAAAAGCATTTCCAAGCCTCTGTGCTCCCTTCTCCGTAAATCTCCGTTTATTTAAAAAAATTCTTTAACTGCCCTCAGGTCCCAATTGTGGAGACATGAGTGCCGTTTTCGGGGTGTGCTGGGGTGGGAAGGAGAGGAGGCAGCTGAGCTGAGCTTCCAGCAGCCAGGGTCACAGCCTGGGCCTGGGTGACTGTCACAGACTGCAAACAGAGTGCTGGAGGTCAGGGCGACCGGCTGTCTCACTCCGCTGCAGAGACCCTTGTGGGCACAGCTCCCAGAGGTGGTCACTGGAATAAAATCAGCAACTGTGTGTCCCATGGTGGGTTTGCAGACAGAACTCCCCGTGGCTAAGATGCAGTGTACACGGAACGTGGAACAGATTCCATAGGCGCCCCTCACTTCCCGGGTCCCAGGGATCCAGTGCAAGTGGCCACAGGCTTTCTGTTGGCACGTTGAGGAGGGCCCCGTGGACTTGCTACGGGACTTGTTTCCTGCCACGCAGATTCTCCCCTCTGCTGACAGGTTGGCTGCAGTTTGGCTTGCTCTGTTTCTCTCTTTCTCATGCATCAGTGCTGCGTGTCACCCAGTCCCTCACCATTGGGAGAAAGAGAAAACCTTAAGCTAGACACCGAGAATGTGGACAGTGGCAGAACTCTGCAGGAAGGCCTGGTTATGCCCAGTCAGCTGTTGTGTTACCCCACCCCGAAGGGTGATCACCTGGGGGGCAGAGGGAACAACTTGAGAGCATCTCCACTCCATGTTTCGCTGCCAGAGCAGACCTCTGTGCACGTTTGCCACGGAACCACCAGTGTGCACAGCAGAAAACTCATGCCCAGCTGGGACCTGCAGAGGCAGCTTTGAAATCAGAGGCCCAGCTGGTGGACACACTGGATTCATGTCCAGTTGGCAATGCTGACTGAGCTCTGCATACCCCGGGCTCAGTTTTGAGAACCACTCGGCACCCCAATCCCACGGCAAAGCTGCCGGGGGATCTCAGACTCCGTGCTGGTGGGTTCTGCTCAGTGGGCCTGCCTGGCAGTCAGAGCCCAGTTCAGGGGCAGCTCACCTTCAGGGGTGGGGGTCAGCCCCTTGGATTCAGCTGTTCAGTCTGATCACTCCACACTGGCCCCTCTTGCTCTCAGTCAGCCCTTTGGGTGACTCTGTCTAGACAAGAACCCCAGGCGGAGCGGCGCTCAGCACTCCTCAGAGGCTGCCCTGGACAGACGGACTCTGCGCGCAGCCGCCTCTGGGTGACAAAGATGTTGCAGACACAAAGATGTTGCAGACAGGCGCATCACAACTGCCTGCAGGGCTGCAGTACCGGGGAATGGGGAGCAGTGTACCTGGGCCCGGAAGGGGCGCACAAGATCCGACAGAGGTCTGTCTCCTCAACCAGAAAATTGCCTGCAATTTTGTCATCCTGGTTGGCACAGAGAAGCGCCTGGGAGGGTTTGGGGTGTTGGGGAGGCTGGCTGGGCACCTCCTTCGGTACTTTTGATCGAGGCTCAGTCCCTAGCAGTGTCTCCGGGTGGGCGGACGTCCTGCGGGTTCCCGGCCTCTGCAGCCCACGGAACCCGGGGGGGCAGGTGTTCCTTGAGCTCAGGACGGACCCGCGCAGCGCCCGCGCGACCCGCGGCAGCAGAGGGAAGTGCAAGCGCGCGTCCTCCCACCCGTGATCCTGTTATATCCACGCGAGGTCTGCGCGATCGGCGCGTGAGGTCTCGGGGCCTCCCCGCGCGCGCCGCCCGCGTCCCCGGCCGAGCGCGCTCTCGCCCGCTGCGCCCCTCGCGGCTGCCGCCTGGAGGGACTCGCGGGGCGAAAGGGATATGGAATCGTTGGGTGCTTCCCGGTGCCCCGCTCCCGTGCCCGGGTCTCCTTTTATCTGCGGAGCAATCGCTGCGCGGGGCACTCCGCGTGCCTTTCCGGGGTGTTCTCCGTCGGCACAGGACGTTTTGTGTTTTTTTTTTGTAACCATTTCCTCAATTGATATACTTTAGGGTGTAGTGAGCCCATAAAAAAGCAATCACGGTGCCGAGTGGGGTCAGCTGGTTATCAAGGGAGCAAGAGCCTTGGTTTTCCTCCTTGTCCCAAAGGAGGAACCCGGAGCAAAGGACAGGGCAGGCCCGGCCCCCCAAAACTGGGGACAGGAAGAGGGACAGACTCGCAAGAGACCAGTCATTACAGACCAGGGGGGCTCACTTCCCTCTGGCCCTTCCCTTTCGGCATTAATTGAATGTATTCTTACTGTGACATTTACAAATGTGTGACTCTCTTAGAAAGAAAGAAAGAAAGAAAGAAAGAAAGAAAGAAAGAAAGAAAGAAAGAAAGAAAGAAAGAAGAAAATCAGCTCTATGTACTTATGTTTGTAAAAACAGGAGTTCTAGTCATTGTTTTGAAATACAGGACAGTAACCCTCAACTTCTAACCCTTACCGAATGATAGTATGATTTCCTTTCTCTTTTCGCCGAACTTTCCTTTGCCAGAAAAACAGAAAGGCTTTCTGGACGCTCCACAGTGAATGGGACCGGCCCTGTGGCCTGCCTCTTGGCGGATATTTGAAACAAGTTTGACCCATGATCTGTTATCCCATATGGTTCACTTGTTTCCAGTTGTTCCCATTTCAACTTATTATTTGTGATGATGAAAAGTTATCAGCAAATATTAGGGATGAAGCTGATCAAGGTCCCTGGCCGTCGGAGGCTCATAGAATGATATCCCAAACCGTGGGTATGATGAGTACTATTTGAGATCTGCATTTGTTTTTTTTGGACGCCCAGAAAGATAAATGTGTCACGCATATATACGGGCTTTATGTGCTTTTGACAAACACAACAGGAAAAGCAGTGACTTGCACTACATGCAGCAATGAGATTAAATTGCGTAGATAACGTAAGAGCAGAATAACAGGTGATAAATGGAACACGTTGTACTTACCGGCAGGCGTAAGTCCATGCTTCAAAGATTCTTGTAAATCCCCAGGATCCGAATGAGAAGACATTCTTAGTGAGCGGATACGCAGACCCTTGGCTTACAGCAGAAATCATTGAGCACAGGAAAAATGCAGCTTGTCAGATGTTGTGGCCTTGGGCGAGAACACATCAGACTACAGTGACCCGTAGTGAAAATTAGGAAAAAGGGGAAAAAAAAAAAATCAAGAATTCAGAAAGTTAAGTTAAAACAAGTCTTCCCCTGGACTCTGCACTTTTTCCATCATCGGTGACCTGGTGTAAACCAGTTTCATGATGGTGTGTAATTGGGAGAATGGACACTTCTCATAGGCTCGGAGCGGTCACGTGACTCTCTGCAGGTTGATAAGAGGACCCTGTTATAAAGAGACAGCAGAAGAGATAAGAACTCTTGGCAGATAATGGCAAAGAAATGATTAACTCAGAAGTGGAGAAGTGTATGCAGTGCAGAGTGGGAGGCTGAGAGACTGACGGGTCAGGGGATCACAGCGGATCAAACCCCAAACCAGCTCAAATCCACCGGCTTGTGACATACTCCCCTGATGTCGTCACCTCTGCACAGAGGGGTCACCGTAGCTCTCCTGACCTCTGTCAATACATGTTAGATGATAACATTGGCGGATCCTGATTCCCTCAGTGATGCCTAGAGATATGATTGACACGTACAGGTAGCACTTCCAAGCTAAAAAGTGTGGTCATTTTTTAATTCATGTTTTGTCAAGGAGTGTTTTACTCACGCCCGTTCATCAGCTGAGGTGTTCACCCGAACTCGCCCGTGGATGGCTCAATGGATTGAAAGCACAGCCTATCTTTTTACCCCCAATAGAGGAAAACTTATCCTTGGAGGTTCATACTGGCACACTGATGAATGTGTGATACATTTTCCGTTGCGGAAAAGTCATTCTTTGCTTGGACCCATGGAAAAATATGGATCCCTTCTTACCATGAGATGGCTGTTACTCAATAAATAAGGGCAGTTTTAGGGTTTTGTGACTATCCCTGGTGTTCTTTAAAGTAATACAATCTGGATTCTTAGAGCAATATTTTCCAATATTGTTTTCTTGTGTGTTTCCATTTGGCTAATGAAACAAATGTGTGTGTGTGTGTGTGTGTATACGGACCTGATATTCCATTGGGAAAACTCAAAATGTTTATGTGCAGCATTTTCCCCATTGAAATTACATTTTGGGGGATTAGATTTGACTGCATTAAACAGGAAAACCAGAACACCAGTTTAATAAGGTTTAAATGAGACTTTTATTGCTCTCTTAGAAAAAGAAGTTCAGAGGTAGACAGTCCAGGCAGAGGGTGCGTGGCTCTCAAAGTTGTCCATTATGTGGTTCCTTTCCTCTTACTACCCTCCATGTCCTCGTGTCTCAAAGTAGCTGCTCCAGTTCCGGCCATCACTACCAGGAAGGGCCACATTCACTCATCTCATCAGAAGTCTTTACATTTGTTTTTTCTTTATTGATTTTAGAGAGAGAGGTAGGGAGAGAGAGATAAAAACATCAGTGAGAGAGAACATCGATGGGCCGCCTCCTGCACGCCCCCCACTGGGGATCTGGCCTACAACCTGAGCATGTGCCCTGACCGGGAATTGAACTGACCCTCTTGGTGCAGCGTCGACGCCCAGCCACTGAGCCGCATTGGCCAGGCAACTTGATCTGTTCTAAAAATACATCTCTGTGTGTATTTTTGTGAAATCAGGGGTATGGAAGAAATCTGAATTGGATTAAAATACACGATATCTTCATTCGGTGACTATCAGGAGCTATTTCCCCCTCGGAGGTAAAATGGGTGACATGCTGACATTCTGTTTGTGAGTAGAAGCTTCTCCTGGTCTCCTGTCCTCCCTCGTGGGAGCCTGGGGCTCCTGTTCGGAGATGAGCTGGATCCTTACCATTGGAGCCACCATTTGGCTGCTGTTATGGCTTCATCTGGTGACACAAATGTCAAGATTACGTGAGAGTGTACTCTCCTACACCTCGAGGATACGTCATCGGATGGCTAGCAGACAGGTTTCTGGGGAAACCATGAAGGTAGGTAGTTTTAAACTGGTGCTGGGCTCTGGCTGGTGTGGCTCAGTGGTTGAGCGTCGACCCTGCACCAAGAGGTTGCCAGTTCAATTCCTAGTCAGGGCACATGCCCAGGTTGTGAGCCCGATCCCCAGTGGGGGGCGTGCAGGAGGCAGCCCATCGATGGTCTCTCTCATCAGTGTTTCTATCTCTCTCTCTTTTGCACTTCTTCTCTCTCTAAAATTAATAAAGGGAAAAAAAAACCCTGGTGCTGGGTAATCCTGGCTGTCTGTGAAGGAGCCTGGGATACCCGTGGTTTGCCTTTCAACTCCAAGTCCTTGTGCACACGTGACCCGCCCAGCCTGCGTCACCGTAACACCATGGTGGGTTCTAGTTGCTGAGATTCACCTTTTTTCTTGTAAGTATACACTGGATTTCAAAATGTGATTTTTATTGAAACCAACAATCTCTTCCCTCATTCTAGATGGAAACTCGGTAGGGGCCTATCTTTGTGTAGGCACATTTTCTACCGGCGATGACTTTGGAATCTGTGGGGCTTTTGTTCATGCCGAAGGGTTGGGTACACATTTGTCTTATCCAACCCAGGAAATAGCCTGGGCATCAAATCGTCTCAACGCACCGGTTCTCTGTGAGGAGCCAGGCGTGCGGCGTGGTGGGGATGCAGCCTCTCCGGGCGGGGAGCACGAGGCCGAGGCGGGAAGAGCCATGGTCAGGAGCGTGGGATTTGACATCAGGAAGTTCCGGGGTCCCGTCCCAGCTCTGCCCCTACTCCAGGGCCAAGTCATGCTTGACCTCTTTAAGCCTTGAATTCTTCATAATAAAAGTGACACAAATGATGGGCTCCCGTGGTGCTTTTATTCTTTATGAGAACGAGAAAGTGCTCGGTGCCGTGACTGTGAGGACTGACTGCATGCGTAGATGTAGAAGCCAGTGTGGGCGTGTGACTTGGGTCTGAGAGACACATCTTCCTTCATGGACTTCTGGAAGACGCACGCAAGTTTCCTTTTATACGTTGTCTTAGGGGTACTGTTGGCCACCCTACGGAAGACGTCACATCGGCTCATAAATCAACGCAATCATTGCGTGTCCTGCTCTGTTCTGGGCTTCCGACGAGACGGGATTATTTTACGAAAGGCACAGGAAACATCGAGGGCCGATAGATGGCATTACTGGATTCCGGATAACCCCGACCAGAACCTTCTAGAAACGCCATTTGCTGCTCGTCACTCCCTCCTTCTCCATGGCACCCACTGGCGTGTCCAGGGAGCAGCACATTAATGAGTTACTTGGTCTTTTGAAGCTTATCTTTCAGACGCAGAGACAGAGGTGCCCAGCGCTTGGTGAGAAAGGAGCAGATTTTTGTGAGCGAGGAGCTGGAGTACCGTTCGCATGTGACCCGAATGACAGGTGCCTGGAGCCCAGCCCCCGCCGCCGCCAATAAGGGATCCACACCCTCACTGAGCTGGGGGGACACTGAACACAAAACGCAACCTCCATTTTCGCTCCTCCTCTTTCTGAACCCGGGCACGGTCTGGCCACTTCCTTTGTGCGGACGGGGGCATGTCCCATCCCCACCATCTGTTCTGAACACCGTCACGGTCCCCCCTACACGCATCCGAGAACACCCCAGCGCACGTCTGCGATGACTTACGCCCGCAAGGATCCGTGTTTGCAATGCCGGAACAGCGTTCACCGGCGGATTTCAGGAAGGGCTTGTGAATGATTGACAGACAGGCAATGACTGCAAGGCGTCCCTGCCAAAATCCAGAAGGCCTTCAGCACTGCCATCTGAGCCCATACTGCACGATGGGGTTCAAGTTCAGTTAATGAGTTACAGTCGCTGTAAACTTCCTGAAGACACGGGGACATGTCGGCCGGGAACGGCTAGTGTCGTCACTGCGGCTTCTGGTGGGCGCCACGCCCGAGCAAACGTGAGAAAGGCCCCGTAGGGGGGCTACTCATTTGAGTTTCAGAACAGGAACTTCAGTGGCTGCTTGCACCAGGTATCGGGGGACGTGCAGAAAACTTACAAACACTGACCCAGGGAGCTCCTGCCAATCCATTGCTTAAGGTCCATTTCTGCTTGTTCCCTTCCCGAACAGGCATTTGCCACTGATTTTATTTAGGACCCGGGCTGGTTGGCACTTTATGAAAAAAGCAGCTTCCTCAACCACCCCCTCACCCCCTAATTATATAAGATGTCGGATGGCAGGTTTGGGCAAAGAGTGACTAGGTCAGGTTTTCCTCGCTCTCTCCCTCTCATACCTGTGAGAATGTGGCACCTGGCTGGACAGATAAGTGACTTTGACACAGTCCTCTTGTGACCAGGTAAATATGACTCACCTTTATAGCACTAATAATTAAACAGCCTTAGTCAATGTTTTGGCGATGGCCGTGGTTAGGACCTGACTCTCGGGGGGCAGGGAAGGGGGGGTGCTGTGTCCAGTTCCTCACGGTTGTCACAGTTTGCGACGTGTCTGATGACTTACAGCTCGTAGCTTTGTTTAGAGTAAAAGAAATACCCTCCGGATCATATGGACCGGCGAAATAGAGGTCCGGCCTTTTCAGTTCATGAAATGGGATAGTCTGTGTTACCTGACATTACCTGGGAGACCACCTGAATAAAATAACCCCCCAACGTCACGTGTTCCTCTCGAATACAGTGCTGTCTGTGGGCCAGTCTCAGATGGGGCCACGCCACTCGGTGTTAATGCACTTCCGTTATTCCCACGGACGTGTCCGCTCTCTCCTTGCTGGGAAAAAGGGAAATGTTTAATCACAAATGACAACTAAGGCGAACTAAAAACATATGCCTCCCTTATACGGTTTCTCAACACACAGCCGTCTGTGATTGGTCAAGACATCCGTCCACTGACTGTAATAAACCAAAGGTGTGAATGTGTTCGAGTTTCCGTTCTGTTTTGTGAAAGACCCGAAGAGGAAGGATTTGTCGAACAAAACCGTACCCAGCGGTAGCTTCCAGCAGTGCTGATTTAGGTACTAACGTATCTTAGATGGTTTCAGCCCTTCAGCTGTGAGTGCTAACGTCTTCCAACGCGGACGCGGCGTGGGACACGGGCAGGTGCGCGGCCCGTGCTCCTGGGCCCTGGCGGCCTCGTCTGTGCGCGTGGGCCTCCCCCCTGCTCACAGGGGCCGCGTCTCCCTCCACGGAGGACGCACTCTGTGTTGGGATGGCTTCGCTTCT